TGGCAAGGAACCATTCATGGGTTAGTAAAATAATATGTTCTTGTTTTGTGCTTGCCAAATTTTCGGCCTTTGCACCAGTTCTTCATGACCAATAAAAATGATCCCTAGCCAGTTCTATAACATGAAATACTGTCACTGCATATGATTTCATGCAATTTGTTCTAATTCCTCGCCGTATATTTTTAAGTCAAAGAATGTCAGAAAAAGCATAGATTTCTGCTATAGATTTACTTTTTTAGTTAGCGAGTGCGTTCAAACCGAAAAAAAAATCGCCTGTGGTAATAAGGACCCTGGCACTTTCAACATGCAATTAATGTCAACAACGGCTATGCCGAAAAAGTTATGGAACAGGGTACGAAAGCATACCATCCGTCCAACTTATTGCAAATTTCCTATGAAAATAATAATTGAAATTAATTACTTTAGAAAACACCGTCTATTAATGACTCCAACAAAGTCAACATCTCCGGTAAAGATGATCATCATTTAAACATTTTGCGGAGATTTCATGGATGTAGTAACAAAGCATGACCAAAGCTCATAGCTCTACAGAGAGAGTCGCTATAAAACACCAGATCCTACCCCATGGTGGTGAGCCAGCCCACGCAAAATAACGACAACCTAGAGCAACATATCTAATGCATGATGCATTATATGTTTAAACTAGAATAAAAGAGACTAGCCTCCGATACCAAAAGTCTGCATTATGCATTCTACGAACTCACTCATCGACAACGAATTCCACATTTCTTTTACAGATTTGTCTCACTCTCCTCGTGGCATCAGCCACAACAACCGTTCGGAGAACCCTGGGACTGAGTCAAGACGGCACCTACTGGCCTGGGAAGGCCAAGAGTGGTAAACGTCTTCTGGGACTGAGTCAAGACCGTACCTACTGGCCTGAGAAGGCCCAGTGTGGTAAACGTCTTCTGGGACTGAGTCAAGACCGTACCTACTGGCCTGAGAAGGCCCAGGGTGGTAAACGTCTCCTGGGACTGAGTCAAGACGGCACCTACTGGCCTGAGAAGGCCCAGGGTGGTAAACGTCTCCTGGGACTGAGTCAAGACGGCACCTACTGGCCTGAGAAGACCCAGGGTGGTAAACGTCTCCTGGGACTGAGTCAAGACGGTACCTACTGGCCTGAGAAGGCCAAGAGTGATAAACGCCTTCTGGGAATGAGTCTGGACGGCACCTACTGGCCTGAGGAGGCCAAGAGTGATAAACGTCTTCTGGGAATGAGTCAAGACGGCACCTACTGGCCTGAGAAGGCCAAGAGTGATAAACGTCTTCTGGGAATGAGTCAAGACGGCACCTGCTAGCCTGAGAAGGCCCAGAGTGGTAAACGTCTGCTGGGACTGAGCCAAGACGGCACCTACTGGCCTGAAAAGGTCCAGGGTGGTAAACGTCTGCTGGGACTGAGTAAAGACGGTACCTACTGGCCTGAAAAGGCCAAGAGTGGTAAACGTCTCCTGGGACTGAGCCAAGACGGTACCTACTGGCCTGATTTCGTTGACACTGAGGATGAAACGGACCTCCTGTCTGCCGTCACCAGCGACAACTTCAACGGACAACGGACACCGGCCCTGTCCGGACAGAGCCGGCGACAGGGCGGGACAGAGACGGCCCGCGAAGGACAGGGGTCAGGGGCATTTAGACGTCACCGACGGCGTCAGGAGGGCCGGGACGGCGGCCACGGCTACGGCAAGTCCTTCCTCCCGGCAGCCGAGGATGTCAGGGCCTTTATGTAAAGCCGGAGGGTAGTTGTTAATGATATCTGAAACGCTGGTGTGATCTCATTTGACGTCATTGGTGTCAGAGGTTCGGCAAAGCAATGGAAGACATTGAAAACGAATGTCCGGTGGAGAGGCAATGTTGCGTTACCAAGGCAATGTGAACCAAGCCAGTGAAATAAGCGAGCGAAGAAAGATGGCGGGTGCCAAGCGTCTCGCAAGGCACATCGTAGGGCCAGTGAGCGCGCCAGCCTGCTGAAGCGCACCATTCTATCCTGGTAGCCCCGTTTCCAGTCTCCATGCGCCTGCCGATTATTATAGGATTTAACAGATGAAGTGCTGCTTAGTGTCTGGGCATCGCTCGTTTTGGCCGTGCGGGACGCTTACGTACGCAATGTTTTCTGGACTCATTTTTGCAAGAATTCACTTCTCGATCATGCATGCTGAAGTAAAGTTTGTATGTGTGGCTGGAAGTACATGCAATGCGATGCTGTTAATTTTGGAATAAAGCAATACAAAACATGATTTGTTATTATCCTGTTAATCGTGCATGCTGCAAGCACATATAACACGGCACAGGCTGTTGTCCTGAATTGCTTGCCTTGTTTCCATTACTTTTACTTTTACTTTCCTTGCGCTTATAAATTTTTGCATTGCGTTCTAACCGTTGCCCTAATTCGCCGTACTTCGAAATGAGGACTGTTAGGGAAGGAGGGGGGGGGGGGGGGGGGTGTATTGATACGACACATCTGGAATTTCCAAGCTAATAAAGATAAAGCTTAGCCGAAAACGCTGGTGGATTTGTGTCAACGATGTTTTGCGACCTGCTAGTCTTTATTTTGATAGGTCGATAACTTACTCTACAGTCGATTTTTTTGTGGCGACACTTCACTTAAACAGGCGCGTTTCTTGTAAAAGGTACACCGCTGTGCAATGTTTCTTAAAAGACGTCGCTACTCCGAAATCAGAAAAGGTGGGAACACATTTCTGATCTTAAAACACGCGTGATGGATGCCCCATAGGCTACTTAAAAATTATGGCGCATTTGCGCAACACGCCGGAGAGGTATCCTCAAAAGACCTTGGGGTAGGGGGCATCAGCCCCTCCCCCGGAGGGGGTTAACCTGTTCCCGGCCGGGGATCTGAGACAACCGCGCCGGTTAGGGGGAGTTGTCTCCCCTCCCTGGGGTCTCCAACTTCCAGACGTTGTACGAGACGAACAAAGATACCGCTGTGAAGGTCTCGTCAAATCATGAAGAATGCACACTAAATTTTGAACTTGATCGTGAAATCATGAAGATTGCACTTACGATTTTTCAGGTTAAAGGTGAGGTCACCGGAGGTTATATATTAGGTTTTTAGAGGTTACAAAGGCAAAACTCGGTCGCTCCGACACATGCAGTTAAAACATATGTTATCACGTCAAGACGGACATCAAGGGCACGGAAGTAAGCTCCCAGACTCTGTGGAGCCCATGCTGACCATTTCTGTTCTCCCGTAAGAGTTAGCTCACGTCAGGTCAGGTTACCGTTTGCGATTGGTCTATTAGTGGCGTACAAGAGCGATACTTGTTTGTGTTTTTTTCACAGTGTGTCTCTGACTTGGTTCATTGCATTAGGTGCCGCCTTTGGACAAAAGTATTCCGGACATAACAAATACCGTTTTAGGCTGACCTAGAAGTCATCTGGGGTCAACTTGGGTCAAATTTGTAAGCAATCCAACTGAAAAGTGAGGTGCTGGCCAGGTCTAAATGATCAATACAATGCTTTCCTGTGGTCAGAAATAGTGTGCTGCTCATCTACAGGTACTCAAGATCGCATGGCTGTTATGTTAATTAAGCGTAGCCCCTTCGACGCTTGGCGATGTATTCGTAACAACGTGCGAACAGGTTCGTTGGTACATATGTTACACGTCATTAGCATTACAACAAGATAAGAAGGTGGTTACACGCGTCGCACCAGTTCATCTAGCCTTTCTGCAACTGGAAACGGCGGCCATTGACTTCAGATGACCTCACATGACCATACATATTCTCGAGTGACCTATTATGACCTTATTTTGCATTGGATTGATGTCACAATATGTTTCCAGTTGACTATTCGAACTCTGCGCAACAAAATACGTGTTATAGCTGCCTATTTCGAACCAAGCATGTACTTTTTAGCAGGAACCCATAGAGATAGGTTATGACCTGAGTAAAGACCACTTGCTTTGTGGTCGAACAATGGTTATGCATGTGAATTCATACTCTTTTCCTGATATACAAACACCAGAACTACACAGCTATGCGTACAAATTTGAATGATTTACGAGAAATAGGAATATTCCCCTAGCCCCAGGCTACTGACCTAGCCTATTTCAAAAAAACTCTGAAATCAACAAGCTGCAGACACTAGCATGCCCTGATACCGCATCTGATTCGACAATTGGGCAATAATGCACAAAAAAGTCAGGTGATGTGATTTTTTCTAGAAGTTGACCTCTGTGACCAGACCTAGGTCAAACCTAGGTGATCACCTTGGCAGATCAAAATTTCAAATCTGTACAAAAACATGCAAAATTGATGGATGGACAGGTGCTGAAAATTTGGTGGTGCTTCGAACGCTCGAACGCGCCAAAAAAAAAAAACGTATGGCGGCAGTCAACATTCCCCCCGGAAACGTGGAAGGGGAAGAGGAAATACCCGAACAATTTTCCATTTTTCCTGTGGGCTAGATCCTGCATGTTCTTCTTGGCATATAGGTGTGTCCCATATAAAAGTGTTTCTGCTTGCGGCTTCGTCGTCTGAGTACCAAGTACGAAAGTGGCAATATCATAACTGTTCGGGCTATGTTGGTGTTGATAAGCTGCTCTTCTAAGTCTAAATTTATAGCAGGGCTCACAGTATTTTAGGCACCATCAATCGTCGCGAAGCAAGAGCTTATTTTCACAAAATGTATTGAACGGAGTGAACGTTGAAAATGGCTAAAACCGACCCCAAAATACGCCAACAAACGGGCTGCTTCCCGGATTAGGCCCAATTTCTCCTCAAATTTGGGGGTTTGAGTCCAAGTTCGGGTGCTAATGCTCTCCTCCCAATTAAATGAGAAACTATGCCTCTATTGCAAAGACAATTTTTGTCTCCAGTGTTTTAATATTATTCCTGCGAACAAAGCGCCTTTTGCAATCAGCTGCTTGATACCTTTCGCATCAGCCTCGCCAGAACCGTCTCCCCGGGAATCAGTGTTTACAAACTTCTGGGCAAACGGTCGACTGTATCGCTGGGTCACTTCGCACCGTCGCGTGAAGTGTGGAGGTTGGGGGGCTGTTATTGAGGCCTCACCAGTAATATCTGTGTTAGGTTCGGGTTACAAGGTATGTACAAGCGTCGATCTACCATTTTTGCTGATCTTGTCGTAACGTGACAGCTTTAGATGGCGTATAACTGGGTGATAACTGGGTATAGCTGGATTTTAGTGAATGATTCTTTGACAACTTCAAAGGTTTGGTGGGGCTTTTTGAATATCTTTTTCAACTGTTCCTTTGATGGCGTGATAAGAGAACCCATTTGACTAGTCAAGGTTTGTTAGTGCTCATTCATACTGACATTGGTGATAAATGCTCATAAACATGCTGGTGTGGAGGTGCTCTACTGAAAATATGTGGATCGGGAAGGCATTTGTACTGTGTCTCTAATGCTTTTTCATAAAAGGGTGTCATTGTTCATGGCTGTTTCTAACTGGCTAAGTTTTTGATTGCACTATATCTTCAGCTTACTGACTTACCAATTTTCAGATAGCTCTTGGATCTTCAACACCTAGTCAGAACCTGAAATGGCAGAAATGATCCCGCAGAACTTACGGGAGCCTGTGGAGGAGGAGGAGACAGAGGCAAAGTAAGGAAAATATTTTGCTTATTTGCACAGCAAAGTAACAAAGCAACTATGAACAGTGTTTTACATCAAACTGTTTGCAATAGTATTTTGCATTTAAGCTGATTTCATTGTCATTGAAAGCATATTTTTCTAGGGAATTTATTTGTGCGAGAATCAAGATCAAAGGCAAATTTTAGGATCACAGTGATCTCATTTTTAGTGTAACCATATTAGCATGTTGTTTCCTTCAGATAGTGCCCTGCTAAGATGCTGAAAGACAGGCCACATAGATACTATTCTTGTCTTGACATTTGTGGAAGCTTTTCAACTCAGATCAGAATTACAGTTTTGGTGACACAAGATAAATGATAAAAAGATGTAAAGAGAGTGCATTTGAAAAAGCATACACAAATGTTGGAGTTGCTAGGTGTTCTTGACAGTTGCAAAGGCATCTAAGCTCATAAAAATTTTAGGTTTGTGCCCAGGGTTAATGATGGAAATTTGAAAATAAGGATGCATTTAGAATAACATGGACAATGATTCAACAGTTACAGACACATGTGCTTACATTTAGAACAAAGTCTCAGTTGCAAAATTGCTGGTTGTGTTGATTGTAGACTCAAATTCTGGGCATGTATCACCTGAATATGACCTGTCATAAAACATCAGCCAACCAGCTTTTGCTTTGGAGCACCATTCCAGAAGTCAGCATTATCTACCCATGCACAGCCCAGTCATAAATAGAATTCCCTCCTATGTTTTCCTTTATGTGGAAATACCTGAATGTTTATGAACCTGGATACCAGAACAGCTTCAGAAACATCACAATGGTGCTCACTAGAATGAAATATTGAGTCAGCAACATGGGCCCTTTGCATGAGATGTAAGAGTATTTTTCCCCTTGGAGGCACCAGAATGCTGAGCTGGGCTGTAGCACATCCCGCCCATTCCCTTATGTGATCTGCCGTCACTGTACATCATCCTGTCACCTTTATTTGACCATTGGAAAAAGTCCATTTTGTCACTGTCACATATTAAATGATTTTTGCAGTACTTAATGGAGCCAAGCCTATCTCAGGGTATCTGAGGCCTCTCCCATCACACAAACAGCAGCATGCTGTGTAGGTACACTGTGTTGCTAACAGAGGTGGGGGGGGGGGGTTGGCAAGTGGTTCAACTGGGTGGTCCCAGGGCTAGCCGGTGAGAGGGAGGGGTCTGACGTGACCCCACGGCGGTGGCGGTACGCCACATGCTGTGACAGCATTCTGACCTCACTGTACATGGCTGAGTGGTGATGGTGCCAGGCCCGGGCCACTGCTGACGGCTCTGCTTGATTTGGTCAGGATGTGGGAGTGCTATTGTCATTGGCTGTGATACACATCAGTATGGTGGTGGTATGTATCAATAGGGATACCACACATCTTATTTTGCATATTGCTGGCAATGTCGGTTATTTGTGACGTTGCTGTTTGTGTTTATTGCCACATGTCGTCACTGGTAGAGCCGGTGTCACATGATGTTGCATAAAGCTCCTTGCCTCACGTCATCGCTGACGTATTGTGTCACTTGCCGTCATCACGTGACGTCACTCAAACTTTCTACCCCACATTTCACCCGTGACGTCATCATTACACGGCGGCCGCGGCGTGACGTCGCCGGCGCCGTGCCCGCAGTCAGCTGCTGCTACGCCACGCGTCGCAGAGCTCGCTGGACGAGAGCTCGCAGCGGCAGGGGCAGCGCGAGGCGGTGCCGGACCGGCCGCCCTACCGCAACGGCTCCCACTGCAGCCGCGCCTTCCAGCAGATGTACTCCATGCGCAGGTGTGGGACGGGAAGGGTGAAGGGGGAGGGGTGTCGGAGGCTGCTGTCTTCACACTCGGGAGATATTGGACGGAGTGGTAGACTTCGTGAGAGGTTGTTTCGGAGCTGGAAGTCCACTGTTGTGAATTGTTATTGTGGACATGAAGTCAGACGCTTCAGAATTTCAGAATTAGTGAATGGAAGGTTAGGCCTCTTCTCTTCATTTAACCGATGTGGCCAATCCTCGCTCGGTAACGCCGCTTGGGCCAGCACCGCCTGGTGTATAAGGGCGGTTATTGTTAAAATGTCGACTCCTGTTGCTTGGCGCTGAGTGTTGCCGCTAGTATGAGCTGAACTAAACTTCTTGGTGTCATCTGATGTGATGGGTTGCGCTTGCTGAGATGAAAACGCAACAAGTTTCGCGAGGAGGGCCGGTTTTTGCGCCGCTGAAGACGCACCACCGCCTCAGCACGCTCCCCACCCTCTGGCCGGTAGGGAGAGGGCCCTGTGTGACGTCGTGCTGGAGGTCGACTCGCGGGAGATCTTCGCCCACAAGGTGGTCCTGGCGTCGGCGAGCCCCTACTTCAGGGCCATGTTCACCAGTGAGTCTAGCGGGATGTGGGCGAGCGGGCGAGCAGATCGAGGGGGGGGGGGGGGGGCTAGAAAGCCCCCGCAACGGCCTCTTGCTTGCTGGTTGTTGGGTTTTGTTCACAGCAGCATCCAGCTGTTTGAAGTTTTTGTTGCTGATGTCTCAGACACGGCGGACTCCGCGCCTAGCGTAACCTCGCTGTTTAACGTCCGGAGTCTGCTTGCCTCGAATCCTCTGGCGGCATCGTTTTTTTTCCACTGGCCGCCGGCCGTTAGCCGGGACCGTTCAGATCTCCCAGGCTGGCTGTAGTGACAGCCAGCTGACGGACTGGACTGTGCCCTTTGACGCTGGCTGCTGACTCAATATGTTCTACACATACATGCGCGCTTCAATGAACCGTCAGTCAATGAGAACGGACAGATGCGTGCGCTATCTTCATGCGTGAGGTTTCGTCCTACACACGCTGTGCCGAAACGTTTAAATGACGCATGGCTGCGTGTGCGCTGCTGCGGGCGCGGATGCGAGTTCGATCGCGCGTCTGGAAGCGACGACGCCGAAACTTGCGAAGCTGCGTGCGCCCACCGACGCGGACGCGGATGCCGATGCGGCAGACGATGACGCCGCGGCCCTGCCCGGCAGGCTTCGAGGAGAGCCGCCAGAACCGCGTCAAGCTGCAGCAGATGGATCCGTCGGCACTGGAGGCGCTCGTCAACTACATCTACTCGGCCGAGATCCGCGTCACCGAGGGGAACGTGCAGGTGCAAATCCCGGGTCCGGGTCCGAGTCCGGATCCGGATCGGGATCCGGGCCAGGGTGAGGGTCCGGTTCCGGGTCCAGGTCCAGGTCAGGGTCTGGGTTCCGGTCCGGATCCCAGGTCCGGCCACGGATCAGGGTCTGTGCTCCGGATCCGGATCCGGGTCCGGGTCCCGAGTCCAAGTCCGGATCCCGAGTCGGGGTCTGATCAGTGTAGTGGTCAGCACCCCGGCCTCATCGGCGCTGTTTGGTGGATGAAGCGTGTCTGGAACGCGTCACCGTCATCACGTCGGTTAATGCTCGCGGGAGACGTCGATTACCGCGGCAAGACGGAGCGCCTTTGCCACGTGCGGTCGTAGGATAGCTGCGCGTGCCACGTAAGATTTCCAGTACTGCTTGCCAGCAGGCTGGAGGAAAACTCTCCCATCGCTAAGACCACGGGGATGGCTCTGTCAGGGCCTACGTTTCGAGCTGTGCATAAGGGGAACACTAATCTGAACACCACCGGAGTCAAGCAGTCACTAATCTGAGCACCCCCTGAGTCGAGCAGTCACTAATCTGAGCACCACCGGAGTCAAGCAGTCACTAATCTGAACACCACCGGAGTCAAGCAGTCACTAATCTGAGCACCACCGGAGTCAAGCAGTCACTAATCTGAACACCACCGGAGTCAAGCAGTCACTAATCTGAACACCACCGGAGTCAAGCAGTCACTAATCTGAACACGCCGGAGTCAAGCAGTCCTACGAGAAGGTAGTGAAACCGTGGTTGGCTTTAACTGAGGTCAGGTCAGTGGGGTGTCGGCAGTCAGGTCAGGGCGGCGCTGCCTGGGGACGTGGGATGGTACAGACTCGCCTCTGACCTGAGGCCGGGTCACTGCGGGGTCGGCGGTCAGGTCAGGACAGCGCTACGTCTACGGGGATGGGGTGGCACAGACTCACCTCTGACCTGAGGTCATGGTCAGGGGGATCGGTGGTCAGGTCAGAGCAGCACTTTCTGGGGATGTGGGATGGCACAAGCTCGCCTCTGACCTGAGGTCAGGTCAGGCGATCGGTGGTCAGGTCAAGGCAGCGCTGTATAGGGAGGAGGGATGATACAAGCTCGCCTCTGACCTGAGGTCAGGTCAGGGGATCGGTGGTCAGGTCAAGGCAGAGCTGTCGGGGGCAGGAAGGGTCGCACATGATCGCTTCTGACCGGCCTTGTGATGTACTGCTATTGTCGCTGTCCCCGTCGACTGCAGAGCACTAGTTCAGAGCGTGAGATCGGGGGGAATCAATGGCGCACAGGGCCTAGGGAAGCTCTTTCCTCGTAGTTCGTAGTTCAGATCATGAGATCGGGGTGCCAATAGTGCGCATAGCTTGCGGAACTCATTTACGTTTACTACATACCTTGCGGAACTACATTTACTCATTTACAGCTGGGTCTCCCGTGCTGGGCTTTGCTGCCGGCGAGTCCACCGGGCTGGTCGGTCGGTGGAGACCGACGCGCGGGTCGAGGAGAACAGGTCAAGGAGAGGAGGCCGCCGCGAGGTGTAGCCGCTTGCGTGCCTTGAGGTCGTGTGAGCCTGCCGTCGCGTCTGCCGCAGATCCTGCTGCCAGCCTCCAACCTCCTCCAGCTGTCGGACGTCAGGGACGCCTGCTGTGACTTCCTGCAGAGTCACCTGCACCCCACCAACTGTCTGGGTATGTCTGGGTACGCCTGGGTGCTGCCTGGGTACTCTGGTTACCATCTGGACACTGTCTGGGTATGCCTGGGTGCTGTCTGAGTATGCCTGCGTGCTGTCTGGACACTCTGGGTGCTCTTTTGGGTACCATCGGGGTGCTGTCTGGGTATGTGCGTCGCATCAGAGACCTTTGTGCCACCGCCTCTCTGGGTAGGCTACACGTTTACCAAAGATAGGTGTAGAACCATGCTTCCAGGAAAAGCCGGCACCAATGCATCACAGATGGCACTCGATAACTCATACTTTCAGTCTCGTCGCTTCATCACCAGCTACTGCTTCATCACCAGCTACTGCTTCATCACCAGCGCTGCTGAATATGCCATGGTTTTGCACCTGTGTGTCGATGCGTCATCTCCACACACGACATGCCGTCGAATCCTGCCGCGGCCAGCATTGTCACAGAGACTGACAACTCTTCTCCAGCCGGCAGTGTGTTTAACATTGCCGCTGCAGGACGTACCCTCAGGCTCGTTGCACCGGTCCACATCCACGACATACTCAGCGGTCCACATCCCCGGACCAGATGCCGCCGACATGTCTGAGGACGTGTCGGAGTTGTCGAACGACGTGGTCGGCAGATCCCAGACAGCATGACTAGGTGACACGTTATCAGACATATCCGACATATTCCGCCGTGTGACATTTCTTCTGACAGCCTCTCCGAGCCGACAAAATCTCTGATGTCTCCCTGAGCCGTGCAGTTTCTGACGTAATCTGTAGCGACGTGTACTCAGACATCGTCCTTAGCCAAAATGTTCGCCGGCTTTTCTTAACGTGGCAGCCAGCGCGTTTTTGTTGTCAGCGTGTCCTACAACGTATCTACCTACTGACGTGTGACTTCATGTGTGACCCCATGTGTGCCGTGAGGTTGTAACACCATATGTGACCTTGGGTGTGACATGTGCGGCCCCATATATCACCTGATATGTGACACCATGTGTGACTCCATATATCACATGAATATGGCACCCTATATGTCCTGATATGCGACCTGAGGTGGGACCCCATATGTGACCTGACGTGTGACGTCATGTATGACCCCACATGTCACGTGACGTGCGAACCCGTGTAACCTCACATGACCCCACATGTGGGCTATGTAACCTGATGTGCGGACCCCGAATGTTATTCCATATGTGACATATGTGAAATTATGTGTGACCCCATATGTTACCGGATGTGTGACCCCATATGTTACCTGCTATGTGACCCCGCGTGTGACCTGACCTTTTGCTGACGTAGCCACGATATGTGATCTGATGTGGCGATGTGGTATATGACCTGATGCGTGACCCCGACATATGACCCGATGTGACCTGTGTCATGGACAGGGATCCGGTCTTTTGCCGATCTGCATGGTTGTATCGACTTGAAGACAAACGCCGATGCCTACATCGAGCTCAACTTCAGGTGAGTGCTAATCGAACAAAAACTAAAAAGATAAAAAATGACAGGCTATCAATCGACATTTAATCTGGTTTCTGGAGAATGAATTCTTTGCACTAATTCTTGGATAAACTTCAAGCGACGTGACCGAGTTCAGCAGCGATGCACAATCGCTGCTATCCGGCAAAGCCGGTGCAATCCTTATATCTCTCGCCATATCTCTCGCCTCTGACGCCGGTCTGTGTGAGGAGGTGCTGACCCACGCACCGTTGGACCTTCGAAAGGTTTCGGACCACCAAGAGGTGGCGGAGTGTGGGGGTCCCTGGCCCTGCTACAGAGGTGGCGCAGTGCGGAGGAGTTTCTGGCGTGTGTTGGCTCACTTTCGGATTGCTTCGGAACAGACTGCGTGGTTTCGCAGAGACTCCGATTATAGTTGAGCGGTGTAAGAGCGTGTGGCGAGTGTTGGACACTGTTGCAGCTAGATGGTTGATTGCGCGGGCATGGGAGTGTTGAACTCCCTTCGACGTGTTGGAGAGCGAGGGACCCCTCACTGCTTGCCGACATAGGGATCCAGCTGATGTCCAGCGACCGTGTTTCAGTGAGGTGGTGGAGTGTGAGGAGTTCCTCACCCTGACCGCCGACCAGGTGATTCAGCTCACCTCCCTCGACCGTGTTTCAGTGAGGTGGTGGAGTGCGAGGAGTTCCTCACCCTGACCGCCGACCAGGTGATCCAGCTCACCTCCCTCGACCGTGTTTCAGTGAGGTGGTGGAGTGCGAGGAGTTCCTCACCCTGACCGCCGACCAGGTGATCCAGCTGATCTCCTGCGACCGTTTGTCGGTGGCCAACGAAGAGAAGGTGAGCGCTCACTCCCGTTCTGCTCCTCACTAAATAGTTTTCACTGCGTGATGCGGCGGTCGGAGACTCCATAATACTACATCTTGAGGGGGGCATACATGTATGCCGGGGCGGATACCGACATCAGCCTTGAGCCATACCCCCGCAACAAAGTGTGTCCCAATATCCCTCTGGGGATGCCGTGCCATCGTATGGCAGGTGCTCTGAAAGGACTATTCGCGCTTGTGGCAACGCATGAAGCCATTAGACTCGTTGGCGTTGATTGGCTTGCCGTAGACAGCTCAGTTAACGGTGTCTGGCGGCGGACAGTGAACCTTGGACATTCTGTTCAAGATTGCCACGCTAGCAAAGGCGCCCTGGCTTCTCTGATGGTGGCGTCGCGTTGGCTGCGGTAACGCCCTGGCAATCGCCGGGTGTTGAGATCAGCTGTCGTGTCTTGAAGGAAGTTGGTACTAACTTTAAAGTAAGTCGCCTTGCGGCGACTTACAGCCGCCGCAAGACCTCGCCAGTCAACAGTCGACAGTCAACAACAGTCGACAGTCAAGCCCTCGCCGGAAATTATCACGGGAAAACTATCTCCGTCCAGTGTCTATCCCCGCCCAAGTATTCGCCCTCCGTGCGTTGGTGGTGACGGAAAAAAACGCCTTAACCTGTCCTGAAATCGCAACGTATCGTAACTGATGCCGTTGTATTTCCTGGAACGTCCGCTAAATGTCTCTGCTAACCGTGGCCGTGCGGACAGGTGTACGAGTGCGTCCTGAGGTGGATCAACTACGACCTGCCGGCGCGGGAGCGGCACCTCGCCGACCTGATGTCACAGGTACTGACCTGACCCGACCTGATGCGTCCGATGGCTGCTTGTGCGGCGGGCCTGATGTCACAGGTACTGACCTGACCTGACCTGAGCGTCCGATGGCTGCGGGTGCGGCTGACCTGATGTATCACACAACATCGCCGGCTCCGCCAGCCGGGTCACCGCACCGCGGCTAAATAAACGCGGCTTAATTTCCAAGCAGCTGCAAGTCATTGCTAGCCACACACCACTCATCACGCCGAGCAGCGTGCGCGTTACGCGATGCACTTGCATTACACTGGTCTTGCCGCGTGTTATAACGACGACAACTTGCACCTGGCCATGTACACGCGCTGCCACCTGGTGGCTGATGCACTAACTACGTCGTACGGATTTGATGCACCGGGCGTTCTGCCCGATGCAAACGCACGGCGTCGCCGCCATGCTCTGTGGAGGACGTTGCCATGAGGCATGTGTTGCTGATAATCAGCCGACAGCCGACGAGACTGTCGCGTCGCCGCCTGCGGCGCTGCAATGTTTGGCCGTAACCATGGGTGTCAACCAGGTCCCTGAGATTGAGGACAAATCTCTGGGCGGTTGAACTGATTCTGGGGACAAGATCTGACCTGCGAAGTTGTGTTTGGAATGGGAAAGGTTGAAAAAATGTCGTGTGGACGAAACGGTGATAGAAAAGTTGTTTTAAGAATATAAAAACGATAATTTGAGATATTTTGAGGTACGATAATAATTTCGGAGATGATGATTTAAGATAACAGTTTGATACCTGGCAATAGACAAACTGTCTGCAAGCCTACCACCTCACGTCCACTGGTCGAACATCCCAGCACTACCCCACGGCGTGGCTGGTGACGACAGACGCCCGTGCTCTCCAGGTGCGCCTGCCGCTGCTATCGCGGGACTTCCTCGTGCAGCAGGTGAAGAAGGAGCCGCTGCTGCAGCCGAACGCCGCCTGTGAGTCACTCTGTGTGACGGTGTGACGGCGTGTGACTGCGTAGCTGTGCGGGGCTCATCTGTGGGTTCGTCCCGCTGCCGTGCGGCTGTATCTGTACCAGTTTCTGTGACTTGACATGCGGTGTGTGTGGCGATTCCTGCGCGTCTGCGTGCGAACGTGCACTTGCGTGCTTCGCCGGTGTGGGCATGGTTCGCTAGTGTCTGGGCGACTCGCGCTGTATCTGTGCGTCAATGAATGTTTGCGTCCTTGCATCGGTGTCAGTCGGCGCCACGGAGCTCGCTGACACTAGCCTCCGCGCCACGGAGCTCGCTGACACCGGCCTCGGCGCCTAAGCTCGCTGACACCGGCTTCGGCGCCTGAGCTCGCTGACAGAAGCCTCCGCGCCGCCGCTTCAGGCAAGGACTACCTGATCGAGGCGCTGCTGTACCACCTGTCCATCTCGAACGAGGGCGGCCCGGCTGTGGAGAGCCTGCGGACGAAGCCGCGCCAGCCGGTCGGCCTTCCCAAGGTGGGGCCGGCCGGACGCGGCGCGACCCGGCGCGGTGCCGGCCTCTCTCCCTCCCGCCACGGCCGGTCGGACGCGGCGCGACCCGGCGCGGTGCCGGCCTCCCTCCCTCCCTCCACGGCCGGCCGGACGCGGCGCGACCCGGCGCGGTGCCGGCCTCCCTCCCTCCCGCCACGGCCGGCGGGGCGTGGCGCGACCCGGCGCGGTGCGACCGACAGACCTGGTCGGGCCATGACCGGGGCACTGACGCTGCAGTAGGCGGGAGAGCGCGAGGGAGAGGGAGGACGAGGGGACGAGAGGACGAGAGGGCGAGAGGGTGACAGAGCGGGAGGACGGGAGGACGGCAGGACGGGAGGAAGAGAGGGGCGAGAGGGTGACAGGATGGGAGAGCGGGAGGGTGGGAGGGCGGAGGGGTGGGTGGGCGAGAGAGAGGGAATGCAGGGATTGGGGGGGGGGGGGGGGGGGGGGGGGGGGCGCCACCGAGCCAGTTGCCTGCCGGGTTTTCTGAAACGGGGAGGGGATTGATGTTCCAGATAGCACGGTTTCAGCCCCCCCCCCGCCCCCACAGGTGCACAACAGCGGGTTTTTGCACCTCTTGCGATAGGGTTTTCCTGCTTGTTGGGTCGTAACGTTATGCTTTGAATGTACTATGTATATGCATGCTGTGCCACAATGTTGGTAGTATTGCTGCCTATCTCCCATCCCCAGACGCCACTGCATACGGTTTATCTTATGTTGAAGCTTTTTATGATTCTAAATTCAAATGTAGTCTTAGGAAGCTTGCACTGCTGGCACGGAGAGAGATTCGATCAGTAAGTATATACCATATGTGCTGGCAGCTGCGTGGCCACCCTGTAACTTAGCACGTGACCTCTGACCCGTGACCTGAGCTGTGATTCTGTGACGTGGCATGTGACCTCTGACCCCTGACTGGAGGCCTGACTGGCGCGCCCGCTGGCTCTAGCCGGACCTGCGGCCTGTCGCCCCTCTGACCCAGGTCCCCTGACCTGCGACTTGTGGCCCTTCGACTTGAACTCCGACCCAGGTCAGTTCACCCCTCGACGTGAACATTGACTCAAGTCGCCCGACGACCTGTGACCGCGTTAACTGACCTGATGCATGCTTATATGATCTGTCACCTGACCTGAACTTTGACCTGACACGTGATATCATGAACAGACACGCGGAGCGTGACATGACCTGGGACGTGATCTGAACTGAGACGAATGATAGCATAGCCTGACTTATGGCGTGTGACCTGTGACGCGTGACCTGACCGGAAATGTGACACGTGACACCATGGCTGACCCGTGGCTGGGGACGTGACATATGACACGTGACCTGACCTGTGATAGATGACGCCGTAACGTGACACTCAGCTCGTGACATGGTCTGTGCCACGTGCCCTGCCTTGACCTGACCTGACCTGACCTGTGACCAGGTTCTGCTGGTGGTCGGCGGTCAGGCGCCTAAGGCCATCCGCTCTGTGGAGGCGTACGACCTGAAGCAGGAGCGCTGGCACCAGCTCTCGGAGATGCCCATCAAACGCTGCAGGTCGGTGGGCGCGCCCACGCTGTCAGAACTGGGAACCTCCTGCAGGTCTTCTGCTGCCACGTCGACTGATTGGGACAGCTATCGGCCTGTGCTGCGGCGTATGGGACTAACATCTTTGCGATTATAATGTGGTAGTGGTGTGGCCATTTTAGTCGCGGTCACTTTTGCCGATTAGGGAGGGGGGGGGGGGGGGGCAGTGATTAGAACAGAAAAGGAAACGGCTTTAAGTCGGTCCGGGTGTCGTGGCGTAGCGGCTGAAGGTCGGGCATTGGCAAGCTGTAACGGCCCCGACAGTTGCCGTATTAGTGAACGGGATACGCTGTCAGCGCTGTTGCGTGGGAGCATCATCGCATCTGAGTGGAGTGATACGTCCCAGTCAGGTGGACTGCCATGCTTGGTAGATCAGTGGGCTGCGTTTGTGCACCGGCGGGTTGTGCCTGACGTGGATCTCACCGGCGTTAGTGGCAGCCAGCCGGACCAGAGCTTACCCACAGCACCCAGGTCTGCCTGCGGTGTTTCCATTAACTTTTGATGGTCAGGCCTAGTACCAGAGGCTGGTTTCATCGAGCAAACTGCAAACTTACACATTTTTGAGTTGTCTTAGTAAAATATGAACCCAAAGTAAAGCGATGTTACATGACAGGTTTGAGTTTCCTAAAAGCGATAGAGTGAGGTAAATATTCATATCTAGCACATTTTAAATTGCTTCACAGCTGGTGTATAAGCTCAATACACAGATAAAAAAATGCATAGGCTCATACTTTTGTTTTGTTAAGCTCTACTCTGGCCATCATTAACTGCATAAGATGGACACGATTGTCATCACTATGGTCCTCCAAGTCGGCCACCACTCCCTTCGGCCAGCGCGCATTTCCCCCACCCTACCCTACCGCCATCTATGGCTGCCCGCGTAATTGGCATTTCGCGGCGCCTCCGCCAGGTGTGGCGTGGCTGTGCTGGACGGCAAGGTCTACACGGTGGGCGGCTTCGACGGCTGCCTGCGGATCCGTACCGTCGATCTGTACAACCCGGCCAGCGACACCTGGCAGAGCTGCGTGAACATGGAGGTTCGCCGGTCGACGCTAGGTGTCGCCGTGCTCAACGACTGCATTTACGCCGTGAGTGACGGGGCGCCGACCGTGGCACGGTTTTTAGTCCTGTCGTCTGTGTGAAACTAGCATTCAGTTAAAGTCAGCAACTTGTGTGCCCGTGGAAGTGAGTTGGGAGTGCTGTAGTTGTATCAAGTTGACGACGGCGGCGCAGTGGACACACAATGGCACATGGTTATAAAATAGATCGTGTTGAGTGCATGAGTACTGGTCAAGCTTTGTTTCTCCTCATGCGAAGCCCTGCACCATTGCGCGGGATGCCGCATGGGAATTTCGCCGCCGTTGTCCGTCAGAGTGGACGGTCCAGAGCTGCCCCGGCTAGCAATGCCGCCTCAGCCCCCTCCCCTTCCCTCCCCTCCCCTCCTCGCCTCGCCTCGCCTCCTTACCCCTGTCATACGGCGGGGTTCGCTCTATTGGGAGGCGTGATGTTAGCGGTTCACGAAAGGTACCAGCGGTGTGACTCCTCGTCCCCTCTCGCCTGTGTTTTGGGGCTCCGGACTGGACTGCTGACTGACCGACTGAACTGACTGCATCATACATGGTAGGGGTGTGGTCGAGCCGTACAACAGGTAACTGCATGAAGCACCTCGAAGACCCGCGAAAGTCCCTTGCCGCGCGGCTTTCTTCGCCGTTTGGCACGGGACCAGAGCTTACCCACAGCACCCAAGTCTTGAGGGATGAGGAGGGTTCTGTCTAGCTCCACGCGGAATCTTCGTTTGCCGCGCAGAGTCCTCCAACTTTGAATCGTCAGCTTCGACCCCACCCTTCTGAACCCCGCAACTCCCCTCTGGCCGACAGGTGGGAGGCTTTGACGGCAGCACGGGCCTCAACACGGCCGAGATGTTCGACCCACGCGTCGGCGAGTGGAAGATGATCGAGCCGATGTCGGTGCGGCGCAGCAGCGTTGGCGTCGGTGTGGTGAACGGCATTCTGTACGCGGTGAGTTGACGAGGGGCGTGGACAGCCTGAGACGCTGCTGTGTGTGGGGCCAGTGGATTACTGCTGTGTGGGGTCAGTGGAGCACTGCTGTGTGCGGTCAGTGGAGCACTGCTGTGTGGGGTCAGTGGAACACTGCTGTGGCGGTCAGTGGAGCACTGCTGTGTGTTGAGTCAGTGGAGCACTGCTGTGTGGGGTCAGTGGAGCACTGCTGTGTGCGGTCAGTGGAGCACTGCTGTGTGCGGTCAGTGGAGCACTGCTGTGTGGGGTCAGTGGAGCACTGCTGTGTGCGGTCAGTGGAGCACTGCTGTGTGTTGAGTCAGTGGAGCACTGCTGTGGCAGTCAGTGGAGCACTGCTGTGTGGGGTCAGTGGTGCACTGCTGTGTGGGGTCAGTGGAACACTGCTGTGGCAGTCAGTGGAGCACTGCTGGGTGCGGTCAGTGGAGCACTGCTGTGTGTTGGGTCAGTGGAGCACTGCTGTGGCGGTCAGTGGAGCACTTGTGTGGGGGCAGTGAGGCACTGCTGTGGTGGTCAATGTAGCACTGCTGTGTGGGATCAGTGCAGCACTGCTGTGTGGGGGTCGGTGGAGCGCTGCTGTGTGGGGTCAACGGAGCACTGCTGTGTCGGTCAATGTCGCACTGCTGGGGTGGTCAACGTAGCACCGCTGTGGTGGTCAAAGTGGCACTGCTGGGGTGGTCAACGTAGCACCGCTGTGGCGGCCAACGTAGCACTGCTGTGGTGGTCATTGTAACACTGCTGTGGCGGTCAGTGGTGCACTATCACGTGGTTGTCACTGTAATGCCGCTTGGAGATCAGTTTAGCACTGCTGGGCTTGGAAAGGCCAGTATACCACTGGTGTATGGGGAGGCGCGGTACACAACTTTAGTGTGTGATTAGTGCGGCGCCGTCGCGTTTGGTTCATTGCGCATGCCTAATCCAACCTAACCTAGCCTAACCTAACCTAACCTAACCTAACCTAACCTAACCTAACCTAACCTAACCTAACCTAACCTAACCTAACCTAACCTAACCTAACCTAACCTAACCTAACCTAGCCTAGCCTAGCCTAACCTAACCTAACCTAACCTAACCTAACCTAACCTAACCTAACCTAACCTAACCTAACCTAACCTACCCTAACCTAACCACTGTGTCAGGAGCAAGTATGTGCATCACTTCACGTGGCCAGGTCACCAACGCCACAATGCGAGGCATCACAGCATCCATGTAGGCGTCACTACCGTGCCCGTTGAGCGGCCGTACCCGACACCGGGGGATTTGGGCGGGGTTTGTCGCGCAGGGATTGCACGTTGTGCTGAGTTTGTCGTGCGGGGTTTGCACGTTGTTTAGTGTTTGTTGCACGGGGTTTGTCGTGCGTGGTTTACGTGTTGTGCGGGGTTTGTCGTGCGGGGTTTGCGCGTTGTACATGGTTTGTCGTACGTGGTTTGTCGTGCGGGGTTTACGTGTTGTGCGGGGTTTGTCGTGCGGGGTTTGCGCGTTGTACATGGTTTGTCGTACGTGGTTTGTCGTGCGGGGTTTACGTGTCGTGCGGGGTTTGTCATGCTGAGCCGCCTGCCCCGCCGCAGGTGGGAGGCTACGACGGGGCCAGCCGCCACTGCCTCTCGTCGGTGGGGGCGTACAACCCCGAGCTGGACAGGTGGACCATGGTGGCCGAGATGAACGATCGGCGCTCGGGCACAGGTAACCATGGCGACCGGCCACGCCTATGGTCGTGGCGGACTCTGGCGGACGTGAGGCAAACTTATTTATGGCGTGGCCCTCGGGCGGACAGCACGTGCGGAATAAATATACGATGTTTTCGTTGTGAAACGAAGCCGTTGCTGGAGTCGGCTAAGATGCGCGAGTACCGGCGAGCCGGCAAGGTTCGTCTGGCACCGGTTGTAGCTTTGGCTGAATGTATGCTGCTCCAGTTGCATTTCCTGATAGAGCTGTGAAATGGCTGGTGTTGCCAGCCTAGTTGGTGCTTCAGTACCTCCGGTACTAATTTCGTACCAGCTACCAGTACCTCGGTAACGGAATTTCGTACCTCTGGTCCGGAACTGGGCGCCTGGTGACGACAGGCACACTAAAATGTGTGCAGTGACGTACCGCGGCGCTCAAAATGGGACATTGGGCGTATGCACGGCGAAGTGGACATTCGCCCGCGCATCTTCGAAACCGAAGCGAGCCTTAAAGACTCATCGGAAGGTCACGAAACGGTAGTGGGAACAAACGTTTGCAGAGGGCTCATAGCGCCACGGACTTACATCCGGGGAAAATCGGTTTGTGTGTGTGTTTAGAGTGGCAGATTTCGTCATTTTTTTCAGTTTTCAGCCCCCCTCTTCAACGCACTTCACGAAAGTACGTGACGTCACGACACGTGACCTGTTTGGCGGGTCGGTTTGAAGCCGCCAGACGTATTCCACGGCGGCGGTTCCAGGCTGGTGCTGGCCACGTGCACGTGCCCGCCAGTGCTCACACGAGCACCTTCGCCCGAGAGGTTCTGGGGGGGGGGGGGATTACTCCGCCACTCTTTATTAAAGGGGAAGGGGGGGGGGTGATGGCGAGGACAGAAAGGCGGGAAAGAGGCAGGTCGTGTGACGGATAGTGAGGGAGTGGCGGAGTGGGAAATGGGCACTGACAGGCGCGGGAGGCCGAGGAGGAAGATGGAAGGCTGGGAAGGCCGGAGGAGGAAGGCAGAGAAGCCTGGAGAGGCCGGAGAAATACGGCAAGCAAACCAGGGTAGGGATAGGAAGAGGACGAGAGAGAAATAGTCGAGGTGAGAGTGGGTTAGAGGGACGGAAGTGGCTGAGGAAGATAAGGACAATTGGGGAAGGCAAAGTTGGCGTTTAGTTCATCGGCTTCCACACAGCGCCATTGAGTCAATCTCAAGTCCTCCCAAAATTATGGGAAAAGGGAGATATTTCCCACCGCTCCCTCATGCGCCGCCCCTGATACACGAAGAGCGCAAGAAATCCCACAGAGGGGGAGGAGGCAAGAGCTCCTCCGCGCGTTGAGATGTGCCCCCCTCAGCAGGATTTGGCTCAGCACCACCGTCGGTGGGGCGGGGGGGGGGGGAGGGGGAGGGAGTGGTGAGAAGCGGACAGGGACACGTCGAACGCTGACGTCGAACACAGACACGCCTGGCTAACTCCGATCCGGGGAGTGGATCCGCCGGATGGTGAGCGGTCGGCAAGCCGTCGTCCCCGCGTTCGCCCGATGTCGCGGCGCTGCCAAGACTTGCAGGCCGGTTTCCGCTCGCGGTCGAGGCGAGGCTCTCATTTCTGTTCGGCCGAACTGACCCGCAGTCGGCACGGACTCTGAGAGCAAAGCAGAAGCACAGCTCGCTCGTGCTGCGCGAATCACGACTTTTCCAAAGAGCGCTTCCGCCCCACCTGCCTTAATCGTTTAGAGCGACGCGGTGTTTTGTTCGCGCGCGCTCCGGCTGGTGGAGAGGCGCTAAGTGAGCAGCCGACAATCAATGCAGGCCGCCGCCGACGAATATCTTGTCACAGCGGCTGATTTTCTCGTCGGAGCGGGAGCGGATGCGGATTTGGACGTGGAAGCGAACGACCGCGGAACCGTGGGCGGGGTTGGGGGGTGGGGGGGGGGGAGGGGGCGCTGGTGAGGACTAAGCACGCAGAAAAGAGAGAGAGGCAGTGGGGATAGCTCTAAGGAGCGGAGTGGGTCAGAGCGACTAGAGCCTTCAGTAGTCGACGCGCTCTAAAACCCAATCAGCAGCAACAAATCAGCGAGAGGAGGGTTGTGAGGAGTACGAGATGACAACGCGTGGGTGAGGTTCACCGTAGGAGGAGGCGCGAGAAGTGTGTTATGCTCTGCTTTACCTTCTGTCTCTCTCAATGTCCTTAGCCTCGCCTCACCCACGTCCTTTCTCCTCCCTTGTCCTCTCCCCCCGACTTGTTCTTTTCCCCCCGCTCCCTCTTTCTCTCCGTTTTATCAACCATCGCCATCTCGGCCCGCCATCACCATTTTTCTCACGTCTCCTGATGTTCCTGTACAGACACTTTTGTTGTTTTTCCGCGCGATTTCTTGTTGCGTGGCGGGAAATGAATTTGAAGCCGAAAAACTCTCCGCTCGCATTGTGTTGCAGGCCCGTGTCGGCCATATGGTTCTTTACTCACTGGTGATCATACAGTAAACACGGACGAACTTTAAACTCATGGTAAACCCAAGCAGGATGCAGCATTGTTTCGTCGCCTGTTAGACTTCTCCTGACGGGTATTTTTGCTCCGAACACGAGGGACATGGTGCATGTTTTTCAGAGCTCTCACTCTCCAGGAAGAGGTGAACTTTCTTACCCTCTTGCAAACTCCAGCGAAACGAGAGATGCCGCTCAACGCTTTTGGGCAAAAATATTCCACCTGACCTCAACCACCGGCGGGAAAAAACATATCCACCTGACCTTAACCGCCGGCGGGCAAAAACTTGTCCACCTGACCTTAACCGCCGGCGGGCGAAAACATGTCCACCTGACCTCAACCGCCGGCGGGCAGAAAAATGTCCACCTAACCTCAACCGCCGGCGGGCAAGAAATGCACGCGTCGCGAGCGACCCGGCGGCCATTGCGGTGGCGATTGTGGCGCGGCGGCTGCGTCAGGTCCGCCGGCGGCGCGGCGCGACCGGAGCACTTGATCTCGGCTGACGCGGCGCTGAGTGAGCGGCGACTCGGCTGCCTCAGTCGGTCGAGAGCCGGCTTGGCACTGGGCAGCTGGGCTTGGGGGATCGGCGCCGGGCTCGGCGCTGGGTGGCCTTGCTTAGGGGATCGGCGCCGAGCACTGCAGCCGCCTGGACTAACAGTCAGCCGTAGCTTAAACAAGAACTAGTCAAGCGAGACAGCTAGTCAAGAACAGTCTAGTAGTTCTTGGGTTGGATATGTAAGGAGAAGGGCGAAATGGCCGAGAATGGCTTGAAACGCCTTTGATTGCATACTCGGCTGCCAGCAATCTATCGCCATGCGAGTGTGTAGGCTCCGCGACAATGCCTCCGAGCAGTACATGTTGGCTGGGTGAACACAGCTGCTGTTGCTAACTTGAAAATAATGATCAGCATTACGTAGGACAGGGTGTGCGTTCGGCTTAGATGGAAGCCATTTGTCGGTTGACAGCATCCTCACCAGCCCAGCGCCAGCGGCACTGAAATGCTACGAACGCAGATAGCCAACGTAGTTAGTGCGCCTTCAGCTTTCTCTGTTATGGGTGGACTAGAGCCCCTAAAGCAGCAACACACGGGCGTGGCGGCAAGCGCGCGCCCGCATCAGTACTGCGCGGCGGCGCTGTGTTGACACAGCGGGTGTCAGCGGCCTCCAGCTTCGCCGCCGCCGCACAGTCCACCTCTCCAGACGTCACCCGCCTTCTCAAACTCGAACGCGGCGCCGTCGTCTGCAGCCGACAGCCGCCGGCTGCCGCTGGCGTGGTTGGATGCCGCGGCCGGGGTTTGATTAGTTTCGCGAGGGTAGCTGCGAGGCGGCCGCCATCTTCAGAGCCGGCGCGCGGCAGGGTTGTCGTCCAGAACAACCATCCCGCTTTCTCCAAGCTGTTGTGGGGGCCGCCCTCGGACCTGCTCGCGGGCTGTAGGCCTGCGGTTTGTGGCACTGATTTGCGTTGGGTTTGCCGCAGTCTCCGCCTGTCCTGTCCTGTCCTGTGTCTTGTCTCGTTGTCCTGTTGTCCTGTCTGTCCTGTCGTCCTGTATGTTGTCCTGTCCTGTCCTGTCCTGTCTGTCCTGTCTTCTGTCCTGTCCTGTCCTGTCCTGTCCTGTTGTCCTGTCACGCTGGAGTTGACGTGCCCATCTGGACATGCTATGCCTACGCTTACCCCACAATACCAATGATAGCTAGATTTGATGCGCTTTTTTAGTGCCGCCTACCCTTTAAGGGACATTTTCGACGCCTCCTCCCGGCGCGCTTATGAAAAGCAATGTCATTACACTTGCCTGCAGACATCAGTGCACCGTGCCGACACACGCAGCTGGTCTATGCCGTCCAAAGGTAAGACCCAGATGTTTTTTAGCCATTTTGCGTTTTTATGTCATCTGATTCGTCTTTCACGCTGCGTTGGAATGTTTAAACTATGAGTTGACATTTTTCACAAACCTTTTGCTAAAAAAATGACTAAAAATTCGTTCTAAAATTTCGACGTGTTGTTTGATAACGAATCAGCATGAGTATATAAATCAGATGACATAAAAAAGCGAAATAGCCAAAAATTAACATATGGGGTTTTACTTTACACGGCAATCTAACTCACGCGGCAGGGACGGCGATTGCAAATGATCTTGGCACGATCTGTGCCTGTGTGCAGATCATTGTGCCATTGTGCCATGTTACATCTGGTCTCGAGATGGTGCAAGGTAGCGCACTTCACACAGCGTTCCCCGGCTGACCGGAGAAGAAGCCAGCGTTCAGTTTGGCAACAGTTCCCGCGATGATATCGATATTTGTCCTGCGTCGTGGTTGACTATGACTCTTTCCCCCACATGTTCGATGTTTTTTACGTAGTTGCGATGCATTCAATTAGTTTAATGGAAGGACTTCGTTGATCGTGTGTAGCCATGTTTCATTGGACCTGTTATGGCCCGACGAAATTCAGGAAATGGTTTACAAAAATGTGTGCGATCAATTCTGTTTTTAAAAGATACACAACTTTGTTTATACAGAAAGGTATATTTCCG